TCATTATATCGGATATAAATATAAGATTTGTTTCCCTAAAAATTATAGGTCTCTTTCAACCTTCGGCCTCCTTCTCTTTGGTCGATAAGAATTCCGGTGGCTAAGTTCCGAGAAATTGATTCGCTCGAGAACGAAGAGTGTGCCGTCTGAAAGATATTATTTTAAGCACGAAAAGAAGAAAAGAAAAAGGGTGCGAAGCAAAATAGAAAGGATACGACTTTCTATTGTTGGTACCCCGTGCATCTGCTTCCTTTTCACGTGTGTATAGAGATAGAAAGCGCGGGAAGAAGTTTGCCTCACTCATCTTTTTTACGTACTCTAAGAATGAAAGAATGCATTCTCCTTTTCATCTTGCAGCCTTATACCGGGCCTAGCACACCAGAGACTTATGATGATCCTGCTTACCAAAAAAACTCCTTCCTAATTCGTGTATGCGCGTCGAGTAGCTTGGGTTTCCCACGCTCTGGGTTTAGGAATAGCCAAATCCAGGCGCGCAGCGAAAAAAAAGGCCAACAGCACAAATGGTCTGTGCTTTTACCAGTAATCCACCTTAGCGGCCTTTGTAGAAAAACCTTACCAGATAGCATTTATGGAACCTGCCACCTAGGCTTATTATTTAGTTATGTATTCATTTATTTTGATTTTTTTATTTTTAATTGTAGAGGGGTGGCTTTATACAAACTTTCGTGGGTCACAGCTCTCAATCAAGTCACCTCGTTGGATTTCCACCCCAAGAGAACTGAGCTGCTTTGCTCGTGTGATGACAACGGCGAGATCCGTTTCTGGCTTGTTGGTCAAAATGCACCTTCTCGTGTTTCTAGGGAAAGACTCAAAACCTTTTCTGATTTACTTTTCTTCTTTCTTATGAGCTGTGAAACGGCTTAAGCACAAACAAATTTCTTTTGGGATCAGGGTGGCACTCCCAATGTGAGGAAAGAACACAAGACCATAGAGATGGCATCGCGCAAATCCCGTTGTGGACTGGGCACCACATCTTTATAAGTTTTTTTACCGCCTTTCTAGCGACCTGCGGCCTCAACGCTCCGCGCCTTGTTTCTTTTCTTATTTTTATAGTACTAAATTGCTTTGTCCCGGGTCTTCAACTCAATTCTCTCCGGCCCAACCAGCTTTGGAGATCCCTACTAAACCAATAAGGCAATGTGTGATAAGTAAGCAACCATGGAGAGTTCCTCGAGTCACTCTCCTCGTTCCTGATACCCATTGCCGGCTTGACTTTAGCCTGTGGAGTAGCTTAGGATCTTAAAGGTATGCAGCGGGGTTGATTGAACCCTATCGATGGAATGGGGCTTTTCAACTTATGAATAGCATGGATCACCTTCTACTATACCTGGCTAAGGTGCCACAATGGAAGCATACCAAGGATAATCCAGAGATACATCCTACCTATGCCGAGAGCACAAAGATCATGCTATGAAAACAGGTCTAGTTAATGCCCACAGGAGTAAGGAAAATACAATTGGATGCTTTATCCCTCCATACCGGGTAATGATTGGTATGGCTTGGGTATCCCTTGATCTGTTATCCAAAACTAACCAGTTGTCCCAACCGAATCAACCCCTAGGGGCTTTCCTATATGGATTCGTTCCCCGGAGCCAGAGCTGATTCCATGAATTGACGTATATGAGCGTAGTTATCAGGTACGCCGGGGGCTGGATTCAATCCCTGAGGATAGTGATTGATGGTATAGAGTTTTGATAGAAACTCGTATAAAAAATCATATAAAAAGAAAGAAGAGAAAAATGAGCCTTGTTTCCCGAGAGAGACCCCCTTCTCTCAGGACTGCAGTCTTATAGTCGACAGCTCTTTTTCCAAGCCACCACTCTTGTTCTGGACGGTGGTCTTAGCACTCACACCGAGAATCCCTGTCTTCCCCCCAGAAGACAGTCATCCTCTCCCTCGTTTTTATAGATTCCAAGGAGGTAATAGCACATAAACTAGCAATGTTGCGTCGAGAATTATGCTAGTGAAAGACTTAATAGTACTATATTACCACCATACTTACTACAGCTATCTTATACCTGGATATATAGTCATATATCAATAATCATTAAACCCAATCACCTCAACACACCCATCATCTTTGAGGGTAACTAACCTTTCTCGCGCAGTCCAAGTAATTACTCTTCCCCTTTAAGATTGCATCCACTCTTCCTTCTAGTTGGTTTCTATGTAATATAGACTCCAAATCCATTATGATTTCTCCCATAATCTCTTCTATATCATCATCATCATCATGATCATGATCATTCATGTCGATGGCTATAAAGACTTCATTATACCAACGGCTATATCGTATTCCTGGAGAACTAGCCTCTAAGACAGTATCAAATACTTTACGATAGTAAAGATCCAGAATCACTCTTGTTAGTTCACCTACACGTGATACCCCTGACTGTTCTTTAATCTTACCCTTTTCCCCATTGATAGGAAGACTCACAACCTGTTTGATTAGGTCTTTTAAAAGAAGATATCCTCCCATCCCGAGGAGAGATTCCTTTATTTAGCATTGGTCCCTCTATAGCAGTCATATCCATTTTATTAAGTTTTTTAGTTATCCCTTTGGGATATCGTTTTGTTTTAGCTGATCTTAGTATTGGTGTTTTTTTATGGATTGCGATTTCAAGTATTGCTCCTATTGGTCTTCTCATGGCAGGATATAGCTCAAATAAGAAATATTCTTTTTCAGGCGGTCTACGAGCGGCTGCTCAATCTATTAGTTATGAAATACCATTAACTTTTTGTGTACTAGCAATATCTCTACGTGTGATTCGTTAAAATAGGATCTTTTTCCTCTAAAATACATTGAATGCTTATCTTCCTTTGCTTATTCTGTATTCGCGTTGGTAAGTTAAACTCGATAGCTATATGAGTGAAACAAAACAGCTTATTAATTTGTAGTAAAAATAAAAAATCTCATTTCCTACGTACAAGAAAAAAGTTCAAGTAAACATAAGCAGTGTAAACTCTTTACCCCAAGGTTGAGATTGTTTAATTAGTCATCATATCTTGAAGCGGGCAAGAATAAAGGATTCGCGATATGGAATTCCATTACTAGAATATTATTAGTTATTACTATAATTTAAACTTATAACCATAAGGCAATCCATCAAAAGTTAGTGAGGGATTAGGAACACTAAAGTACATACAGGATTAGTAATGAGAGAATCTAAATCATTAGACATTTTTCCTGATAAAAGATCGGCTATTCCCCTAAGAAAGCAAAGGGGTATTCTTCCTTCATAGATTCCCGATGCCGAGCTACTCTTGATAGGCTTTCCAAGACCAAGTTTATAGAATGATCCCTTGCACATTGAGCAAGACAGTGTATTCTTTAGGTTGGAGTAAGATCAATGGAGCCGAAAGTAAAGCATCGGTAGTGAGGCTTTCCTCCATGAGGAATTAATCCTTTGGTCGTCAATGGGAACTTTAAGACGAGAGCCAATGTGTCCAAACTTCCGGCTGAATTGTTGCTTTCTAGTGGCCGACCATCCTTTCCAGACCTTCTCTAGAGCTCTTCAATCCTTCCTCCTAAGATCCAGGCTAACTTTTTCAAGCAATGGAATGACTGGTAGGCGATCTCAGGCTCGCTCGTCGTTGGGTAGTTTCCGATAGTTCTATCACCATTCCAGGCTCTTCGCATATAGAGAACTCGAAGGTGGTCGATGTAATAGAGCAGGCCTGAGGCCATTACGTACTTTCTTTGTTTAAGTTATTATTGAGAGGGTCTTTCAATGATAGCTATACACAATGAGCGCTGTTTTCTACATGCGAGATGAAATGCCATTCAAGAGCGGATAAGGCTAAAAAGAGAAAAAGCAGGGCTTGGCTTATTCTATTCATCTGCACCACCTGACAGAGATTCTTTCACAGCCTCGTTCAGCTAGTAGAATTCTTTCTAGATCTCGTTCTTTTCACTTTCTGGGCTGAGACCGTCCAATTTCATTCTTGCCTGGGAAGAGAGGATCGGAACTCACACTCGATCCCTACTCTTTCCTCGTACTTCACAGGTTTTCGAGGCCGAGGGTGAACTGGACTCGCATTCACTTGCTGGGAAAAAGAGAGTGGATCAGGCTACGACTGAGGCTGAGGATAGGTCACAGGACGGATGAGGTAAAGTATTCCAAAACGGAGGATTCCAACCCGAGGAAGTAGGTCAACCACCTTGAATATGGCTCCGTGGAAGTAGTTAGGGGATAAGCCCAAGGAGGATAGGCCTATGGGATTTCCACAATGAGTCCTAGTACCAGGTAGGTTAAGGCGTAATAAGTCAAAGAGGTCTTAGCGGAACTCGATAGGCCAAAAAGGAGGGACTCATCAAAGGAAGTTGCCGACTCGGGTAGGTAAGCAAGAAAGTAGACTCCTTCATCGGCCAGGGTACTCCTGAAATCTATCTCAGTAGGGAAAAGAGGAGTTATGGTATAGAGAATTCTGACCTAAATGGATGCATTGATTAGGGTCTTTGTCCCTAAGAAATGCATCCTTACGAATACAAGAGTGGTTTTTTTTGGGTATAGCAGGACTTGAACCTGCGACCATTAGGTTAAAAGCCCAATGCTCTACCAACTGAGCTATACACCCGATTTTACAAGAAGGCTTGGTGCGGAAAAGAAAAGAGGGTGGCCTGGCCCCTTTTCTTCTTATCATATCACAAGGGCGCGGCTCTGTATGGGGCTCGTACTGCGGAGCAAGTCTGGGAGTCCTTTCCACTCATTGAGGATTCTATCTAAAAAAGAAGGTCAACGGGGGAGACTACAGTAGCTCGAACTCAGACTATCTACGAAAAAGCTAAAACTCCCTTGTCTTCAACTATGAACTTACATCTATCGATAACACGGGCTTCTTAGGTCAATCACATCCCCAGGAACTTCTAACTGGCCTAGCAAGGACCAACTTGAGAAATTGATTCGATTTAACGAGAGGCTCGGAGATGGTATACGTAGAATAGGGGAAAGTAAAGACAAACTTCGGTCAATTTACGTTTTCAAAACTACAGCTATCTTGCCTAGAGTCCCAGAGCTTAACGGAACTCTTGTTTACTATAAGAGCCCACCGCTTTATAAGTGCTTTCCTCTCTCTTTCTTTCGAACCATAAACTCCGAAGCGGTTTCACTTTACCATACTGGAGAAGGGCTTCACTCGCGCCTTGGGGACAGAACTAGAGTACAAAACTAGCTTCCTCTGTACATATTGTTTTCGGGTAATAATACTATCATTGAGAAAGAATAGATAACGACTATCAGGCATATGACTGATTTCTATATGGGTGTGAGGCTCATACTCTCATTTTATCCTTGCTCGCTGTTCCCGACAGGAATACGTCACTTAAAATAAGCTATTGACGTCTTAGTTCCGACCTTGTCTCCTTTCTTTCTTTTGTTCACCGGTGCAAGGCAAGGGCGGAGCTCTCTTATGTTCATCTTCCACGCCTGTCTGCATCCCAAGCACTAAATGAGTGAAATCCAATCCCGGAAAAAGGCTCTCTTGCATCTTTTGCTTCCCCACCGGCCTCTATTCTAGATTCACCGTCTTCGGATGCATCAGTTTATTATGCTTATGCCTAATCTTAATACTGGCTAGTTACTTCAATTACCTTACCCCACAGCCCCTCCTTTTAAGGAGGTTTCAGAGCACCAGTCACAGCTCGTCACAAGAAAGGATTGATGGTCGAGTCCCCGTGCATGAAGTCAGTGGATTCAGAGTGAACTGACCGTACTACAAATCGACATACTTGAGGAAGCTTCTTACTAAACCAAAGAAAGGGCAGCTCCAGTTGTGTTGTCGATTCCTTCTCCCGAGAGCTTTCACACTCTGGGATGGGAGTCCCTTCCAAGACTTGACCAAAAGCTTATCTCTTTCATCTCAATTTAACATTTTCCGAAACGCGGCTAGACCGAGGCAGAGCAAGAGTGCAGCTTCAACCGATCCCCGGCGACATCTTTTAGGCCGATGTTGGGCGTATCAGCTATCTCACCTGGAGAGTGAGGAAAGAAAACGGTCTCGATAGCGGATAAAGCTCTTCCGGTTTAATAAGTTTCTCTTGGACCGTGCGTTCCGCCAACAGACGAGACGTGAGGAGAAATGGAGACTTCTCCCCATATCTGGTCTAATCCATACTTTTCTTTAAAGTCTCTAGTGGGTGCGAGCGGCTCCCGCACCGGGTCGGGTCTGTAGTCTGTCGTTTTGACCAAAAGATGAAGTTTGGTTAAGTCCTCCAAATGAGTCCATTCGCCTCGTTCACATAGGTCCTTTCCACGAGGGCCAAAGTGAACCCAAAGTCTTAATGTAGGCTTTTTGTTTATATCCATGTGGCCAAAACAAGATATTTAGCAGGGATACAGACGACGCGATTCCTGCTTTCATAGTTTGATCAGGTAGCTGAAGTCGTGGTGCTGATCGCGTGGTTTGCCTCCTCTCTCGCGGCCGTGTGTTGGTCAGCGTGGTATGGAGTAGCGGTTCCTCGGTAGTCTGACTGTTTCGATGCAGCATCTCTATCTTTCGGTACATCCCGGGCAGGCCTTTTCTAAAAAGTCTTGTGCTCAGGTGCCCGTTTTAGAGTAGTTCGTGCGTTGGGTAAGGTTTCCGTTCGAGACCATGAAAATGAGATATTTTATTAGATAGAGCCGATGAATCAAAAGAAAAGCAAGCCTCTTTTTCCTGTACGTACCGGTACTATATCCTTTCTTCTTCCTTCTGCATATGATAAAAACTTCATCTATTGGAGTGCCCGGTGAATATGTCTAGTCGAAGTTTCCTTCCATAGTCATGCCTTTTTTCCTAGGTTTTTTTTCAGCTAGGCCCGCTTTTTGTCACTAGTAAAGCATATTCTCTTTCCAGTTTAGATGTTTCATCCCCTATTTGTAGTTTCTTTCCATGTGGGTGCAGGCGATCCAGTGGTAGTCTCTGACTCCCTCTTGGAGTTTCTGTTGGAGTTGCTCAACCATTTCTTGTCTCTTTCTCTTCCTTAATTAGGACTACTCTCCTTTTATCTTCTATATGGAGGGACTATAATAGCATTTATGAACCTTTCGTAATTCCTTTACGAGTTCTTTCATTCCTATCCCGTGATATTCCTTTATATATTCAGAAAAACAAAACAAGAAAGTGATTTTTCTATAGAAAAAGAACTTCTTACTTCCCGATGCCAACTCCTTGCTTTTAGTTGACGTTAGTAACATTCGTCTTCGTCTTCCACACCGGCATCAACAAAAAACTACTACTCCTCTTAAATGGCATATTTCAATTCATTCATTCACATCACTTCCGCTACCAATCCTATCCTTACCTTTCTTTTTCAATGGGCAGATAAAGGTCATTCTATGCTTTTTATTATTGAAAATATAGCAGATCTGAAGTCTTTTTTATTATTTTTTCTTCGTTTTTTACTCGTTTTAGCACCTATAACGGAGCCATCAATTGGAAATTTGAAAAGGATATTAAAAGAAAACAATTGCTTAATTATAGTATTGATTTCGGAGTTTG